TCATGCATCCACAGATGCATCTCGAGCAGGTCCAAGGAGGTGATCCTCCCCCTCTATGCAGCACTGGTCAGGCCACAGTTGGAGTACGGCATCCAGTTCTGGGCACCGCACTTCAGGAGGGATGTGGACAGCACTGAGAGGGTTCAGAGGAGGGCCACCCGCACGATCAGGGGGCAGCAGGGCAGGCCCTACAAGGAGAGGCTACGGGACCTGAACCTGTTCAGCCTCCACAAGAGAAGGCTGAGGGGGGATCTAGTGGCCTGTTACAAACTAGTCAGAGGGGAAACTATGAAATGATGAAAGAGGGGAAACTATGAAACTATGAAGACCAGCAGGCATTGGGGGAGTCCCTGTTCCCCCGAGCACTACCAGGAGTAACTAGAAATAACGGTCACAAGCTGGCGGAGGGTAGATTCAGACTAGATATCAGGAGGCTCTACTTCACAGTTAGGGCGGCTAGGATCTGGAACCAACTTCCAAGCGAAGTGGTGCTGGCTTCTACACTGGGGGTCTTTAAGAGGAGGTTAGACAAACACCTTGCTGGGGTCGTTTGACCCCAGTACTTTTTCCTGCCCATGGCAGGGGGTCAGACTTGATGATCTGCTCAGGTCCCTTCCAGCCCTACCAGCTATGAAATTATGAAACTGTGAAGATTAAATTCAGTAGGGACAAGTGAAAAATACTACACTTGAGATGGAATAAGCACATGTACAAGTACAGACTGGGGAATGATTAGTTAGGTTGCAGTACTGCAGAGAAGGACCTGGGGGTTAAGGTTGACCATAAACTGAGTATAAGCCAACAGTGTGCGCTTGTTACAAAAAAGCCAGCTGAGTTGTATGAATAGGAATGTTACTTACAAGTCAAGGGAAGTAATTTTTTTTTGGTTTTTTAAGCATTGGTGTGGCCGCACCTGGAGTTCTGTGTCCAGTTCTGGGCCCCACACTTCAAGAAGAACTTGGAAAGTTTCAAAATAGTCCAGCACAGAGCAACAAAAATGTTGAGGGGTCTGGAAGATGAGACTTATGAGGAAACACTGAAAGAACTAGGGTTATTTATTCTGGAAAAGAGAAGTCGGGGCGGTGGGGGAAGGGGAAGGATTTGTTAAGTCTTAAACTACCTGAAGGGCAAATTATACCTTGGTAGGAACAGACATTCAAAAAGCCTGAGCCTGAATTGATTCAATCTTGGCAGGTTAGTCTAACCTGCCTAGGCTGAGTCAGTTTGGAACTGTACAGACATCCCCTTTGGACTGAGAAAATGCAGGCACATGCCTGCAGTGGCTCAAGCTAGAAGCCAGGGGGTGCTAGAGCAGCCCTCCCTTCCCTTCGACAGTACTGAGCTAAGGAGGCCAGGCCCCTGCAGGATGCTCTGGTTAGGAAGGGCTGTAAACTCCTCCACCCTGCCTGCACCGTCCCAAGCTTTTTCCTGCTCACTGCTCAAGGGGTGGGAGTGTTGCCAAACCCTGCATCTGTTGATACTGAGCTTTTCAGTCTCCATGTCCCTGCTTCTTCAGACTATCTGCAAACCAGGTCATTTTAACACCTTTCTCTGTCCCTTCATGAAGACTGACAGATTGCAGCTAGTTTATCAGCCCATCAAGCCCTCTTTAGTTTCAAGTTCTTCTTATCTGCAGGCTGTATTTGCATTTGTAAGCCACTAACTGTCTGCCTTTATTCCAGTGAAACTGGAGATCCACACAGACACCTCTCATCATTAGCTATCAGGGGGATGGAGAGCATAGCCAGATCCTGGGTCCCTGTGCTGTGGTCCCTGCCATGGGAGAAGGGTGAGATGGGGGGATCCCTGCTTGAGCAGCCAATGGGGATGGGGGTGGAGAAGAGGGGGAAGCCTGGCAGCTGCTGCAGTTGCTCAGCCAGCCAGAGCTGTGATAGTGCTCTGGCTAAGAAGAAGAGGGGCAGGACCACCCCTGCTCTGCTCCAACAGAGAGCCCCACCCAGCCCGGAGAGCATACCAGGATGCTGGGGGACTCTGGTTTAACTTAAACCAGGAAGGGGTCTGGGACAGACATTGCATAAACTGGTTTGACTCAAATCAGTTAAGTCTGATACTACATTCAATCAGGTTTATCTTAAACTGGTTTCATCAATGTTCAAACTACTTTATGTGCACTGAACCTGTGTTCTGTTACAGGTTTAAACCAGTTTCTGATCACTTAAACCAGTTTATGTGTAATGTCTGTCCCTAGCCACAAAGGGTGGAGATAAGCTTTTTTTCTCTGGATGTAGGGGACAGCACTAGGAACAATGGTGCAGCAGGGGAAGTTTAAGTTGGAGTTTAAGACAAACTTTCTGATTACGAGGGTGTTCAAGCATTGGAACAAGCTACCCAGAGAAGTTGTGAAATCTCCATCCTGGGAAACTTTCAAAAGTATAGTTTATCCAGAGATGATCCTGCCTTGAGCAAGGGGCTGGACTAGATAACCTTGTGAGGTCTCTTCCAGCCCTGCTTTCCTATGAACAGAGCCAGTGCTTAAGATCCACTTATTGATCTTCTTCTATAGCAGTAGTAGGGTTTTCTCCAAGACTGCCCTTTAAACATGGAAAAATCTTCCTGTCAAAATGCTTAACGTCTACTTGTCCTACTTCAGACTATACATGCAGACTTGCCTCTGATCAGACCTTGAGTAATAAGACAGGTGTCAGAGATTTACTAGTTTTGATCTGTCTTATTTAATAGGTGTAGCACAACCCGGAGAAGGTTGGTTTCAAAGATGCTGGTCGCTAGTTTATGAATGAATGAAACATTAATAGAAATGAAGAAAAAAGAAGAATTAAATTCTTGAAAACAATTCTTTGTAAACATGTTCTGGTGAATGCTTATAATTGCATTTCATTTATTTCAGGTTGCTGTACATGCCCTTCTAGGAGCTATCCCTTCCATCCTGAACGTTATGCTCGTCTGTGTTGTCTTCTGGCTCCTATTTAACCTCATAGGAGTGAATGAATTTGGGGGGAAATTTTGGAAATGCACTAATATATCCCCAAATATGAATATTACTAACAAAAATGACTGTGTTAATTTCAATGTGACTGGTTCCCTAAAGTGGGAAAATACTAATGTAAACTTTGATCACGTTGGGATGGGTTACCTGGCTCTTCTTCAGGTGGTAAGTTCTATTACAACCTCTTTTTCATGAAAATGCATTGGGCAGACTTCCTAATTATAGAATCAACTGCAATTGTATTTGCCCTCCTCAAAGCAGGTGAAGACTGCTTACTTGGTCTAAGTGATTTTTTTTTAGATGCTCTGTGTTTCCTACAGAATACCAACTCTGCCATGGAGATCTAAACCCAGGTTTCCCAAATTTCAGGCTCCTGCCTAAGCCACAGGACAGTCCTTCCTCTGAACATGGCACTATTATCCATTTTTCATTACATTAATTTGATTGGTAACTGTGTCGTGACAAATTTAATGGCAGGGGCTCTTACCTGTGTTGAACTTCAAAATATGGATAAATTCCAAAAACTCTAAAAAGGGAAGCACTTAACATTTTATTTCTTTTTAGTGTCTCTCGGTGTCTATTCTCCCTGTATCTCACCCAGGTGTAACTCCTTCCCTTCCAGGCCCAAATACTTTCACAGTCCTGTCCAACTTTGTGCCTCATTAGCTCTGTCACAGCACATCTTCCCTCCATAGGAATTTATACAGTAACTTGACTTAAACTTTTGATAAATGAGCAAACAAATAACTTAGTTTTAAAATGGTTAATGCTGAAAGCATTTTTAACAGAAATCCATATTGATTCATTTCCAGGTATTTTAATTTGAGGGGCAGGGACTTGGGTTCAAATGTCCAGGTAATAATTTTGGGTGTTATCTGAATGTCTGTGAAATATATTTTGAATCTAAACTTTTTAAATTAAAATTATTTTTGTGAAAAGCATGTTACCTTAACCAGGACTCTTTATATACATTTAGGTATCTTTCACTTACATTTTAGTTTTAGAATGGTGTACTTTTATTTTAATGAGAATAAATTTATTATGATTTTCATAATGAGTATATTTGGGTAATTTTTTCAGGCAACTTTTAAAGGCTGGATGGACATTATGTATGCAGCAGTGGATTCACATGGGGTATGTCACCAACATGAAAAGATTCTGTTTAGTAGCTATTGTCTTATGTTTACCCATGTATTGCACTGTTTGGTCTTGTTAGCAATCTGGGATTGAAAAGACAAGAAAATGAGCAGTATAAGGTAGACAATGAGTTAATTTGCTCTTGGAAGATCAAATATTCAGAGGACAGATGATTAGGGAAAACATTGTTAAACAGGACTTCGCTATAGCTTTCCCCTCACCCCCTACCACCCGCACTATATTAAGAAAAAGTTTAGGGCCGGTTTATGTGAGTTACATATAGTAGTGTGCTAGGACTAGAGTGTAGCCGGAGGATGTTCTGCTGTTAATGTGTGCAATAAAAATATTCCTGAGAGTATGTGTCATGCTTTGGGAACAGCTTTTCATCATCTATATTCAAATATTTTTTCTTTCTTCCCTATTTTCATTTGCCATTTCTCACACTGTCACTTAAATAGAATCTGACCTTTCACACTTTCTTCTCTCTTGCTGTCAGTCTGGACAGGGAGAGTAATGCTGGGATCTTTAGTCTTTCATGCACACCTGTCCCCAGTTCAAGACAGGGTGAACTAAGATTTTTTATGTGCCATTTCAGCTAAATTGAAAAATAACTTATTTTCTATATGAACTCTAGATTGCATTTAATATTGCAGGGATTATTTTGGCAGTAGGCAGAAAATCTGGAAGAAAGGAAATTCCCTTTTCACTTGAAGCCACCATGATGGAAATCAGACAGGAAAGGAGAGCAAGTTAAGTGAACAGGCAAAATAATGGCAGATGAACTTAAATTTGACAAGCACAAGGTAATTCACATAGGGAAAAATACCCATAACTAGACTATCTGTTATGACTCAGGAAAAGAGACCTTTGAGTCACTGTCTATAATTCTCTAAAAATGTCAGCTGAGTGTGCAGTAGTGACCAAAAAAAGCCAATAAAATGTTGGTCATCACTGGGTACATCTACACACGCAAGTGCTTCTGAATGGGTTTCCTCCAGAGTAACTTACTCTGGAGTAAACCTACTTTGGGCATGCATCTACATGTGTGCCCATTTGAGAGCAGATTTGCTGCTCTTGGCAGCAGTCTGCTCCCACCCGCTCTGGCTCTGCACCACCCCCCTGCAGCAGCCAGGGAGAGCTCTAGGCTCCCCCTGGGTGGTAGCCTACGGGCTGGCAAAGAGCACAGGCTCAGGAGACATCTGTCTTCTGGCAGGGGCTGGGAGATTGCTCTCTGCCCCTGGGAGCTGCTTGCTGCCAGGGCAGGATCTAGTGGCATAGCCCGGGTGGGGACAAAGTCCTCCTGCCCTGGCAGCAGGGGGTTCCTGGCTCCAGCTCCCCAGTCAGGATCAAGGGTTTTGGAGAGGATGCAAGTGAGGGTCAGGGCCCAGTCTCCTACCCCAATCCACCAATGGGGCAGCTAGCAGCGAGCTCCTGGCCAGCAGTGAAGTCTGCACCAGGCTGCCTGTGCAGACTTTCCTGTGCATCCTGTGGGTAGCTAGACACTGTCCAAGTTTGGGGCACAACCCAGGCAGCTCCAGGCTGGGTGAGGCACTTTCCCCATGCAGAGAGCTCCCTGTCCCAGCTCTGCGATTGCAGCTCTGGAGTGGGGGCTGAGAGATTTCTCCCTACCCCAGCTCCACGATCACAATTGTGATTGCAGAGTTGGGCCAGGGAGCAATCTCCCAGCCCCCACTCTGCAATTGTAGAGTGGAGGCAGGGAGCTCCCTGCTGCTGCGGGAGGGGGATATTGTCCCCACCTGAGTTTCCGTGCTGGAGCCCACCCTGGCAGCAAGCAGTTCCCAGGGGTAGAGAGCAATCTCCTGCACCCTGCTGCCCAGCTGACTGGGAGCAAATTTGCTCTCAGTCAGCTGTCTATACATGCCTTGCTATGCATAATTACTCGGCAGTTAACTTGCTACTTACATCTGCAGGTAGCAACTTAACTACCAAGTGGAGCAAATTACCACTCTGTAAGGGTCTGCACATGTAGACGGTGATGCTTACTGCACAGTAAATCATCTCACGTAGATGTCCTCCTTAAGAAAGGAATTGAAAACAAAATGGAGAACATCATCATGCCATTATACAAATCCATGGTGCACCCACATCTTGCATACTTGGTACAATTCTGGTCTCCACATCTCCAGAAGGTTGTGGGAAAATTAGAAAAAGTAGAGGAGGGTAACAAAAATTATCAGGGATATGGAGCAGGAGAGTCTAAAAAGAGTAGGACTCTTGATTCTGAAAAGAGAAGGCTCAGGGGGAGGGGGTGGGGGGGGGAGAGTGTGGCCAAAGCGAACTGGGTACTGTTATTCACCAAGTCCCAGAATATCAGAACAAGGGGGAACTCACTTAAATTAATAAAAATGGGTTTAGAATTAATAAAAAAAAAGTACTTTCTTGTGCAATACATAATTAACCTGGGGAATTAATTGCCACTGGAAATGATAGAGGCAGATAGCATAGCGAAATTAAAAAAGGGACTAGACAAATTCACGGATGAGAGTTCTGTTAATACCAGATTGCTTCAAGGCACACTCACATGAATTGATTCCATTTATGAAGGTCAAACAAACTTGTTAAATCACAAAAAAAATGTCTCAGGTGGCACTTTGAAAGAAGCACATCTCAAGATGCTGCTCCCATGTTTTTTGGCTACAAGGCCATTCAGTCTGCATTTGACACTGGACACCTCAGAGGCATGTATGATGTAATTAAGAAAGTCCAATTGCAAAGATGTCAGTTCTATTAAAGAAAGCATCAAGAGAAGTCATGACAGATAGAAAGCAACAGGTAGAAATAGAAAGATGGATAGGACATTAACTCTGTTCAAGGGAAAATGATGTCACTGACACAGCCCATAATTTAATTGAGATCCTGTCTGTCCTTGAAGAGCTCAATGACATTCCAACTGTTGAAGATCTAAGTAAGGCAATAGGCAATCTGGGTATTTGCAAGGCTCCTGAAAAAGATGACATTTCTGCAGAAGTGATCAAGTGCAGGAAGCCTGTTCTTCTTTCCCACCTAGATGAGCTTCTTAGTCACAGCTGGACAAGTAGGGACAGTGCCACAAAATATATGAGATGACAATATAGTCACTCTGTATAAGAATAAAGGCAACCACAGTGACTGTAATAACTATCATGGCATTTTACTACTAAACATTGTTGGAAGGTTCATTGCTCATTGCTTGGGTGGGGCTCAGAAGACTTCAGAGCCTTGCTGACAGTTTCTACCCTGAGTCACAGTATGTCTTCAAAACCAGTAGGTCTACCATAGATAGGATATTCTCATTCCAACAAATCCAAGAAAAAGGTAGGGAATAAATGAGACTGCTTTACATTTCCTTCATTGACCTGACCTAAGGCCTTCAACCTTGTCCTGACCTAAGACCTCTTCAAATTATTGGAAATGATTGGCTGTCCCCCAGAATTCCTCAGCATAATTTGTTCTTCCCATGATGGAATACAGGGAACAGTGTGGCCGTTGAGACCAATTCTTGAGTAATTGTTCCTTCTGCACTTATCACATTCAAGATTGTTTGATACAAGCTTCACATGTGGTAAGTGCAGAAGGAACAGTCAGTCACTTAAAAACTGGTCTCTACAGCCACACTCAGAGATGTTCAGTGAGCTGAAGCCTGACAGTGCAATTCTGTTGTCTTGTGAGACAGACAGATGCCTACTACTACTAATACCTGTTGAACAGAACAGTTGGAGATGTTTTTTCTGGCATCTCTAAACCAATAACGGTAAATGCCAGGGAAGGTAACAAGTAGGGCATAGGTCACTATATATGTATATATATATATATATATATATATCAATGCTCTCTCTCTAAAGTAGGGGCAACAAACTCACCCTGGGCCAGATCCAGACTTCAGGAGCTCCTCGAGGCTGGACCTGCAGATCTGTGTTTAGGTGGCAGCATGGATCTGGAGGCATGCAGTTGCATGGAACTGTGTTTATGTAGTGTGGAGCTGGGGATATGTGTCCTTAAGGAACCAGAGGTATGTAGTGGCATGGAGCTCTGCACATCACTGGACTCACCCTGCTACACACCCCTGCACTGGCACCTAGCAAGAGTTTCATGCTGCCGAGTAGTGGCATGGAGCTGGGGGTATGCAGCTGCAAACAATTGCCTCCATGCAGCCACATGCCCCCAGTTCTTTGCTGCTGCTCAGCAGTGTGGTGCTCTGGGCAGTTGGCAATGTTGATGGTATGTGGCAGTGTGGAGCTGAGAGTGCACATCCAGTAGGCCACTGGACTAATGGTGGGTTGGATGCAACAGTTCTACTAGCCGGATCCAGCCCACAGGCTATATGCTTGACACCCCTCCTCTAAAGCATCCACCTCTGCCACGTTTGAGACTAGGCTCGGCAGTGCTACGCTGCTAGCACTACGGATGAAAGGGACTTGGGGGTCATGATTGACCACAAGATGAACATAAGCCTTCAATGTGATGCTGCGGCTAGTAAAGTGACCAAAACGCTGTCTTGCATCCATAGATGATTCTCAAGCAAATCCTGGGACATCATTCTCCCATTGTACTCAGCCTTGGTGAGGCCACAGCTGGAGTACTGCGTCCAGTTTTGGGCTCCACAATTCAAAAAGAATGTGGAGAAGCTTGAGAGAGTCCAGAGAAGAACCACACACATAATCAGAGGTCAGGAAAACAGACCTTATGATGAGAAGCTGAGAGCTATGGGACTCTTTAGCCTGGAAAAGCACATGCTCAGGGGTGATCTGATGGCCACCTATCAGTTTATAAGGGGTGTCCACCAGGATCTAGGGGAATGTTTGTTCACCAGAGCGCCCCAAGGGATGACAAGATCGAATGGTTACAAACTCTGCAGCGACTGATTCAGGCTGGACATAAGGAAGAACTTATTTACTGTCCAAACCCCCAAGGTTTGGAATAGACCACCACCAGCGGTGGTTCAAGCACCCTCTTTGAACGCCTTCAAGACACATTTGGATGTTTATCTTTCTGGGATCCTATGACCCCAGCTGACTTCCTGCCCCTGGGGCAGAAGGCTGGACTTGATGATCTTCCAAGGTTCCTTCCAGCCCTAATGTCTATGAAATCTATGAGACAGGATAATGGGTTTGATTGACCACTGGTCTGATTCAGTATGGCACTTATTTTATGTTCTTGCAGGAAGAATTGGAAATCCCCACACAGTCATGGAATAATGACATGATTGGAATAAGAGAGACTTAGTGGGATAGCTCACATAACTGGAGCACTATCATGAATGGGTACAAACTTCAGGAAGGACAGGCAGGGGAGAAGAGGAGGAGGAGCTGCTCTTTATGTGAAAGAGCTGTATGATTGCTCAGAGCTCCAGTATGAAACTGGAGATAGGTCTGTTGAAAGTCTTTCAGTTAGGGTCAAGGGGAGAGCAGTAAGGGTGATGTTGTGGTAGATGCATGCTATAGATCAGCAGACCAGGAGGATGAGATGGATGAGGCTTTCTTGAAATGACTTCAATCATTCTGACATCTGCTGGCAGAGGAATATAGCAGTACACAGGCAATCTAGGATGTTTTTGGAGAGTGTTGGGGATAACTGCCTGGTGCAAGTGTTGGACAGGCCAACTAGGGGCCATCCTCTTCTTGACCTGCCACTCACAAACAGGGAAGAATTGGTGGGAAATGTAGTAGTGGATGGCAGCTTGGGCAGCAGTGACCATGAGACTGAGTTCATAATCCTGAGCAAAGGAAGGAAGAAGAGCAGCAGAGTAAGGACGCTGGACTTCAGAATAGCAGACTTTGACTCACTCAGGGAACTCATGGACAGTATCCCCTGGGAAGCCAGACTGAGGGGAAGAGGAGTCCAGGAAAGTTGGCTATACTTTAAAGAAACTTTACCGAGGTTGCAGGAATGAACCATACCAATATGCAGGAAGACTAGCAAGTATGGCAGAAGACCAGTTTAGCATAGCTGAGGGAGTTGGTCGAAGTGAGAGCAGAGCTGCTGGCCATTTTCTTTTAAAATTCATAGCAATCAGGAGAGGTTCTGGGTAATTGGAAAAGGGTAAATATAGTGCCCATATTTAAGGAGGGGAAGACGAGGTTGCAGGAATGAACCATACCAATATGCAGGAAGACTAGCAAGTATGGCAGAAGACCAGTTTAGCATAGCTGAGGGAGTTGGTCGAAGTGAGAGCAGAGCTGCTGGCCATTTTCTTTTAAAATTCATAGCAATCAGGAGAGGTTCTGGGTAATTGGAAAAGGGTAAATATAGTGCCCATATTTAAGGAGGGGAAGAAGGAGGATCCACAGACTGGTCAGCCTCACCTCAGTCCTTGGAAAAATCATGGAGCAGATCCTGAAGGAATCCATTTCCAAGCACTTGGAGAAAAGGTGACTAGGAATAGTCAGCATGGATTCATAAAGATCAAGTCATGCCTGATCAAACTGATTGCCTTCTATGATGAGATGACTAGCTCTGTGGATGTGGAAAGAGCAGTGGATATGATATACCTTGACTTTATGAAGGCTTTTGATATGGTCTCCCACAACATTTTCACAAACAAATTAGGGAAGTATGGGTTGGATGAATGGACTCAGGTGAATAGAAAACTATCTGGATTTTTGGGCTCAAGAGGTCATAATTAATTGCTTGATGTCTAGTTGGCAGCCAGTATCAAATGGAATGCCCCAGAGGTTGGTTCTGGGGCCAGTTTTGTTCAATATTTTCATGAATGACCTAGTAGATGGGACAGAATGCATCCTTAGCAAGTTTGCAGATGACACCAAGTTAGGGGGAGTAGTAGATACACTGCAGGGTAGGGCTAGGATTCAGAGAGACCTTGACAAATTGAAGTATTGGACCAAATGAAATCTCATGAAGTTCAATAAGGACAAGTGTAAAGTCCTGCACATAGAACCAAATAGTCCCATGCACCGGTACAGACTGGGTACCGACTGGCTAAGCAGCAGCTCTGCAGAAGAGGACCTGGGGGTTACAGTGGACGATAAGCTGAATATGAGCCAACAGTGTGCTCTTGTTGTGAGGAAGTCTAATGGCCTACTGGGCTGCATCAGTAAGTGTGTTGACAGCAGATTGAGGGAAGTGATTATTCCTCTCTGTTCGACACTGGTAAGGCCACATCTGGAGTCCTGTGTCCAGTTTTGGGTCCTTATTTTAGAAAAGATTTGGACAAATTGGAAAGAGTTCATGGGAGGGCAACAAAAATGGTGAGAGGGCTTGGGAAATGATTGAACTGGGTTTATTTAGTCTGGAGAAAAAACCGAAGCAGAATTTAATAGCAACCTTCAACTACCTGAAGGGGGGTTCCAAAGAGGATGGAGCCGGACTGTTCTCAGTGCTGGCAGATGACAGAACAAGGAGCGATGGGCTCAATTTGCAGCAAGGGAAGTTTAGGCTTGATATTAGGAAAAACTCTCTCATGAGGAGGGTAGTAAGCACTAGAATAGGTTACCAAGGGAGGTTCTAGAATCTCCATCCTTGGAAGTTTTGAAGACATGGCTAGAGAAAGCCTTGGCTGGGATGATCTAGCTGGGGATCATCCTACTTTGAGCAGATGATTGAACTAGATGAACTCTTGAGGTCTCTTCCAACCCTAATTTTCTATAATTCTAAAGTGTTCAAACAGAGGATAGGGGAAGAATGCAGGTGAAATACTTTGGGACAGGCTGTGGGATACAGGCTGCAAGCAGGCAGGGATATGCTGTGGTGGATAGAAACACAGAAGAGCAAGGGCTGATGATATAGAAATCTACAGTGGATCTACAGGCCACAGCCCATTTGGTTCTACCTGATGGACTTGGCTCTTTCAGCTTGCTTTCTATACACTTAAATGTTGAAATAGGCATGCTCCTGGCAATAATTTTACCACTGTAAACATTTCCAAAATTTCAAAGCTTCTGGTCAGCTTTAATGTTTTGGGACAGGGGTTTTTTGGATCTCTATTTTCATATCTTCATTCATGTAGACAAATGCTATTTGTGAATGCAAAGGCTGGCATATAGGTTCTTTTGAATAATCTGACCTCTGTATGATAAAAAAGAACAATTAATACAAAATTGGAACAATATACCTGGCTGGTACTTTTCATTTTTATTTATTTATTAATGTATTGCTAACTGGTCTGTCCTATTTATTTCTTATAGACTGATCTGCAGCCTACATTTGAATATCGTGTATACATATACATATATTTTGTGGTATTTATAATTTTTGGATCATTCTTCATGTTGAACCTTTTCATCGGAGTTGTTATCAACAATTTTAATGAACAAAGAAAAAAGATAAGTACTTACGTTTACCTTAATAGGCCTTTAATATGCCATTTTGATGGAGTGTATTTAGTTATATAGGTATGCAACACTTCTTAATGGCTGTTTTATTGAAACAGGCCTGTATCATTTAAAAGGATGTTTATACCTAATAATTGGATTTTTGAAAATGGGAACCTTCTTTCTGGTACATTCTCAGCCAGAATTTCATATATTTCCCTTCAAATAATAAATTATGTCTGTATTCCTAGTCTTTTTTTCTATTTCTTAACTGAAGAGGGAGATAGAGCAGCTAAGATGATCCAAGTAGGCAGTTGGTATATGAGATACTGCAACAGGAAAGTCACATTCATTTTCAGCAAGGGAGAAACTGACTGATTATATAATGGGAACTGTAAACTTAATTATGAAAAAACATTTTAAACTCTTTTCAGGCTCAGTAGCTTAACAAGTAGAGTAGGTTCAAATGTTCCAATGAAAATGTAATTGATGGTATTTCTTCTAGAAAGTAAGTTGTAACAGGGTGGCCTGTCCCCTTAAGAGAAGGCAGCTAGCCTGCTTGGGTAAAGGGCTGCAGCTGTGGGAAGGCTAATGAGGGCATGGCTCTTTAGGAATCAAAAATCTCAGCAAGAAGAACCAGCAGGTAGAGAGTGAACAAGAAGCATCAGAGGTAAGAGACTTTGGACTATGAGGAGGACAAGCCTGGGAAAGGAAGGCTGAAACCACAGCAGACCCATCCCGGGGTCTAGGACAAGAAGGTTTTTTTGTTTTCTTACTTTGCGTGGTGAAAGACTGTACACAACTGGGGCAGAGCTGTACAGCTCTGTGTACACTCTGCTGTATACACTCTGTGTACACTCAGCTCTGTACATTCTGCTGTAAAATGGCTGTAGCAGCGCAAGGGAGAAGAAGGCTCTGTGCCCCTCTCCACCAGGTGAGAGAGAAAACCCGGCCCAGAGGGGAACTAAAGGAAGCCCAGTTACCTAAGGGGCAGCTGACAGTCAGCTGGCAAAGAAGCCAGCAGATTGGCCACCAGGAGCACCAGTGGGGAGATAGGAAGCAGCTGTGCAGCCCGGAAGAGGGAGGAGAAAGAGAAGTGTTGCTCCCAGGCTACAACACTTCCTGATGGAGGTAAGAGGAACACAAAGGCTTCTGTTCTTTTGTTATGCTCAACCAAGGCATCTGTTTCTGTTGTAACACCAATGGATTGTGGAGGAAGTGTAGGGGTGGCGGAGCTCCCAGCTAGTGAGGCACTGCTCAGACTCACAGGGTGACCAAGACAGCAAGCTTGCCATCCCTTAAAGGGACAGGCCCTAATTTTGAACTGTGTTTTGGACTGTAACTACCATGAGTGTAGATCCTACCTATAAAGGGATTACATATCATCACAGTGAACTGCCTTCTGTTCTGTAAATCACAAACTCAACATCAAGTCATGGCAGGCGAATAGATACTAGAGGCAGAAACACCCCTAGGCCAATTTTGGTTTGGTGAGTACCCAGTCAAGGGCACCTTCCCGACCCTGCCACAATGGTGAGTACAGGTCACATTATAATAAGCCTGCTCAGCCCCCAGCCATGGGGCTACAAGTCCTCAACAGTAGAGCAGGTGGAAGAAGATGTTAGAACCTCAATGGTCGTGATGGCAAATGAGGGCTGCAGTGGAACAAGATTTCTAATTGTCTTGGCTTCCTTGCCTTTGGATCAAGGTCCCGTTCTGTCAAGAACCATGTGGAAGCTGATGTGTAGCAGCTTCTCCATGATAAAAGAAATCACGCACAGGCATCTTCCGTGGAAACAGCTTTTCCAGCACTTTCTTCAGCTATTAACTGTAACTGAGTAGATCTGTTGTGCTCACCCCACATGTGCAGGGGCCTAGAAAAGTTTTCCTAAACATAGTCTGGCTACCTTTTTCCTGACTGGGAGCCACGTTCAGTGGGATCTTTACTGTAGTCAAAATCAACAAAGGCACGTGATCAGTTTTCGGACCTGGAACATCACGACCCTCATGGACAATCCTAATAGTGAATGCCCAGAGTACTGCAGTGCAGTTGTGGCTCAAGAACTCAGGCAACACAACATTGATGTCATTGCACTGAGCAAGACCCAGTGAGGGGGAGATGGGCAGTTTATAGAACAAGGAAGCGGCTATACTTCCTTCTGGAAGGGTAAACAGGAAGGAGAACACCAGCTTCACAGAGTTGGTTTTGCCATCAAGAATGAACTCATAAACCAACTCAATGAGTTCCTTATCAGAATTAATGAGTGCCTTATGACTCTTAAACTGGGAGAGAACACATATGCCCCAACTCTTTGACACTGCCAACAAAACCAAGGAGAAATTGTACATCAACCTTTACAAGTCCTGTCTGCCATTCCAGAGTGAGACAGACTTATTCTTTTTAGCAATTTTGACACCTCACTCAGAAGGGGTTCAAACCTCTGCAATGGAACCATCGGGAAGGAGTGGGAAAGGTCAACTCCAATGGCATCTTCCTTTTGACCAAATGCATGGAACATGGGCTTACCATCAGCAACACCCTGTTCCACCAGAAAAACAGGCACAAGACATCACAGCAACATCCATGTTACAAGCATTGGCATTTGATTAACTACACCATTGCCCATGCCCAGGATCACAAAAATGTACGCATCACCGAAGCTATGTTAGGAGCTGATGATCACTGTCTCATCTGCTTGGTTATGTCATTCAAACTGACCCCAAAAATGATGGCTTCAGCAGAAGCAATGGCCACAGAAGATCAACATCAAAGGACTCGAGGACTTAATTAAGTGACACCTCTTCCACCAGAGCCTCAATGAAGAACTCATGAATTCCAATCAGCAACAATGGGAAAATGTCAGCAGTGCTTGGGGTACTTTTAAATCCACTGTCATCCATGCCTGCGAAGAGATGCTTGGATTATTTTCCAGGAAGCATCAAGACTGGTTTGGTGAAAATGACTAAGAGATCCAAGGGTTGATTGACCACAAGTGGAAAGCCATTTGTGCTTGGCAGAATGACATCACACAGATGAAGAATGACAAGGTATCTGGAGCTGATGAAATCCCTGCCAAAATCTTCAAATGGGGGAGAGGAGCTCACATTACAGCTCCATGCCCCCATCTTAAGGATCTGTAATGATGAGGTAATCCCAGATGACCTCAGAGACACTGTGATCATGACAATCTTCAAAATAGGAGACGGGTCTGACTGCAGAAATTACAGAGGGATCACCTTGCTGTCCACCACAGGAAAGGTGATTGAGAGAAACCTCCTGAACCATCTCTTTCCACTTGCTGAAAAGCTCCTCCCATAATCCCAGTGTGGGTTTAGGGCATCTAGAGGCACAACTGTCATGATCTTCACAGCTCACCAGCTGCAGGAAAAATTCTTGGAACAACATAAGTCTCTGTACATGCCTTCTTTGACCTCATGAAAGTCTTCAACTCTGTCAACTGAGAAGTGCTGTGGAGCATCCTTCTGAAGTACAGATGCCCATCAAAATTTGTCACCATTCTTTACCTGCTTCATGGTGGTATGTGAGCAGTAATTCTCAATAAAGAATATTTTACAGATCCCTTTGAGGCTAAGCTGGGAGTTAAGCAAGCTGCATCATCACTCTAATACTCTTCTCAATATTTCTTAGCACGATGCTACATCTGATCACCAACAAGCTTCTAGTCAGAGTGGAATTAACTACCAAATGGATGGTAAACTGTTTAATATCAGCTGACTCTGAGCCAAAAGCAAGACCACTCCAACCTCAGTCATCAAACTCCAGTATGCTGATGATTCTTTAGTGTGTGCTTACTTGGAAGTGGACCTTCAGGCAATCATCCATGTCTTTCCCGAGGCATACAAAAAATGAGACTGATGCTTAATGTGCAGCAGACTAAGGTCCTCCATCAAGAATCCCTTAATGAGCAGTCCTTTGGTCATTCAGATTCATGGTGAGACTTTAGAAAACATTGAGTATTTTCTGTACCTTGGAAGCTATTTCTTGCAGAAGTCTGACATTGATGAAGAAATCCAACATTGCCTACAATATGACATCAAATAATTTTTCAAAAGTACACTTTAAAAATATTTCAGACATTACTGCTATCCCTGAATCCCCATGCCATTTTTTTTTTAAAGAAACATGATTATAAAAACACCGAAGGGAAAATGACTTTAGACTACTAGCATGAATAGAAATTTGCAAGATCAAGCTTTGACTACTTTAACAAATATCTGATCACAGCAAAGTTTACTGGAAAAAATGACAAGAAAAACATTTTTCCTAAGCTCTCTTAAATACTCTTCAAATATTCAAAAGGCTGCCATAAACAAGAGGAAAAGCACCTTTTCTCTCTTGCTACATAGAAGAGGGTGCAGACCAATGGCCTGAAGATGCAGCAGAGTAGGTTTAAGATGGATATGAGGAAAAACTTCTTCACTCTTAGACTAGTGAGGCAGTGGAATAGACTGCCTAGGGAAACCGTGGACTCTTCATTGCTGGAGGTGTTAAAGAAGAAATTGAACAGCCACTGGTCAGGGATGATTATAGGCCTAGCTATGCCTATGTTCTACTATGGGCATTTCCCATGCTTCTGAGCTTTGCTGGTTGCCCGCTCTTCTGCTTTCTGCTACTTGTGTCAGGGCGTTTTTAAGCCTTCCTCAGAGGCACTGGGTGTTCTCTGCAGCCAAGGCTGGGGATTTGGACTAGGATGTGCCAATCTTCCTGCTGGGACTGAAGTCAAAGATTCCTGATTAGGTATTGCCCCTCCACTCAGGGTCAGACCAATTGCTATATTTGGAATCAGGAAAGAATTTAAACCCGTGGTCAGACTGGTACAGACTGTTGGGATTCTTCCCTTCCTCTGTAGCAGGGGGACATGGCCCTCTTCCTGGGATCTTTTTGTCTGCCATAGTTTCCCTGCTTTACCTATGCTAGGTTCAGGTGTTATGTGTTGTGTTGTGTCTGAGTTGATGGTAATTTTATAGAGTTTAGATGATGGGGTTTATAGCATGGTTTGAATAGAGATGATCCTGTCTCAGGAGGGGTTTAGACTAGAGGTCCCTTCAGCCCTACCTCTCTATAATTCTGTAACACTGTTTATTAAAAAACAGGTAAATGTACTTATACAAACATATGGGGAGTTTTCAGTCAACAGTCTGAATGAATTAAAATGAATAGCAATGTTCTTTCC